CTCGATCTTCCGTCGTCGAGCCCCAGCCTCGGTCATGGCGCGCAACGCAGGTGACTGTTCCATCATGGCTCCCCTAAAAAAAGGCCAGTTTGGACCAGAGCGCTGCAAAGTAAATTGCACAAAAAGCATCTCAAATTGACAAATATTGCCCCAGGTGCTCTTTTTCTTGCCTGCAAACAAGCATGCGGCAGCAAACACATCGTTTGTTCGTATATGAACTCTCGAAGCACCGGCTGCAAGTCCTGTACCAGGACATGGACTGGCCAGAGTATGGCCAGAAACACACACTCTGCGTCGTGGCCAGCGGCAAGACCGCCCCACACATCCAGGGCCTCGCTCACCTGCAACATTTGGTCATGGAGAGTGCGCAGCTCGTCAAGCTTAACCTTGTTCAGCTTCCCCTTCATCGGCCGCAGCATCTCGTACTCATCAAACATCCACAAGCCGTCCTTGTAGCGCACATCAGTCACCGGTGTCTTGTGGCGGAAGAAGTGTTCAAGCGCAGTGCGTGTGGCGCAGCACTTGCTGATGATCTTGGAGTTCATCCGGTTGTCTTTGTACAGAGGGCCCAGAGTCTCGCAGACCTTGATGAGCATCGAGAAAGGGATCTTGTCTGGTTGCCCGCAAGTGATTCGTTGGATGTCTTCCGCCAACTTGTATAGGCAATTCCCCCGCACAATGCCAGGTGAGCCCTCCTCCAAGTACCTGGATGCCATGGCTTCGCCAGCTTTGGTTACAAAGCTGGACATTTCAACGAGTTGAAGCCGAACCGAAGCTGAGCCAGTTGAACCGAATGGGCGGGCGGCGGGCGAAAACTCACTGAGCCGCACGCAACGCTGGCAGCAAAACAGACACGCTTTTCCTTGTGCTTTGTAAAACTCAGGAGTTGCCAAACTTCTCAGGCAAAGCAAAAACCTAAGCTGAGCCGGGCTCTCAGGGGAAAGGCTGTGTTTCCGCAGCCTTTTCTAGATGCAAGTTCAGTCAGAGTTCAAGGGTAAACAGACAAGCTTACGCAAAGTCAAATAAGCATTGTCCAACAGCATCTTTAATGGTGTAAAAGGTTCGTTAATGTCGGCCAGTTCGTTCAAGAAGTGCAGAACCTGGGTCGACTCTTCCACAAAGGCCCGCTCTTCAGCAGTGACGCGTGGAAGTTGCGTTGGTCCTGGAGAGCCTGGAGAGCACAAATCCCGCACAAGAGGCTCCCTGGCCATATCATCAGAAGGCAATGGCGAAATCAGCGCGCGCTCCATACCAGCAAGAACGACTGCGAAAGGAAACATCGCGGCTCTTCGCCCAGTTCTTTCCATGATCAACCGCAGGACCCGGCTGCATTTCCTGACAATAATCTCGTCAATCTTCATTTCAATGACATGCAGCGCCACGCAATGCGCGAGCTCGTCAGCGTCAACCCCGTAAATGTCCATGGCAGCACGTGCGCCAAGTTTCACTACCAGCTGACATAGCAAAAACAACTCTCTGAGCCACCGGATTGTCCAAACATCAAGGCCCCCCTCCCTCCCCAAGATTTTCGGCAAAAAAAACCTTTCCGAAAAACGACTTGTTTTGACAAGTATGCGCACCCGAAAAAAACAAGGTTTTCGGTCCACAAAAAGCACCCAAAAAAAGGCCTAAAAAGCATGTCCTTAATGACCGGCCAGTACAGTCTGTCATGAAGTTGTTGACGAACGGTCTGACCGCAATTGCGTGTTTTGACAAAATTTGACAAAATCGTCAAACAATGTCAAAATTTGTCAACGTGTAATTTTTCTGCGGAGATGAAAGTTGATGACGATCTGACCGTAATTCTTGGGGACGTGATAAAAGTTGATGACGATCTGACCGTATTGTACGAGGACGTGAAAAATGATGACGATCTGACCGTAATTTTTGGGGACGTGATAAAAAAAAAAGTTGATGATGATCTGAGCGTAGTTCTGCGGAGACTAGAATTGATTACGATCTGACCGTCGTTCTGCGGAGACTAAAATTGATGACGATCTGACCGTAATTTTGATCAATAGCGGAGCTTTTAATAGTTAAAATTTTCTTTTAACTTCAGTCACTTGCCGGCCAATGTCACCAACCGTGGCCTTTTTATTTGGCCAATGAAATGAACAATTTAAACAGTTGATTGTGTTGGCAACAATGAACCTTTTGTCAGTGAGGAGCGTCATGCCTGACAAATCTGATGTATTTTATTAGATTGGTGTCCAAACTTGCTGCGTGCTTGTCAGTTTGTGCCGGATTGTCAGCCTTGCGTTGAGTTGTCAAGTGTTGATTGATATTACATGTCATGTGCAATTTGCAGCATTGTCGTGGCTAGTCTAGTAGCATTGACCTGGCTCGATAGGAAAGACTTGTCAGGGGTAAGCGAACAAAGCAGCAGTAGTAGTAGTAGTAGTAGTAGTAGTAGTAGTAGTAGTAGTAGTAGTAGTAGTAGTAGTAGTAGTAGTAGTAGTAGTAGTAGTAGTAGTATGTCTTTGTTGTGTGTTGTTTGTTGAATTTATTCACTTTTGATGAGCTGCTGTTTGTTTGCTCTTGTTGGTTGGTTGTGTTTTGTCTGTGTCTGTGTAAGTTTGGTTGTCCGTTAGTTTGTTGCTTGTTGTTGTTTGTTGGTTACTGTTTTTTAGCTGTCAACATTTAATTTTCTAAGGTATTACTGGTAGCACATCATTTGGCGCCGTAGCTGTTCGAAATTGATTTTTTTTAATACAAATTTTGTCCATTTTGTCGGTTTCTGTCGGCTTCTGTCGGTTTCTGTCGGTTTCTGTCGGTTTCTGTCGGTTTCTGTCGGTTTCTGTCGGTTTCTGTCGGTTTCTGTCGGTTTCTTTTTTCCCGAAAGCATTGCGAAGGGTTCTTCCGGTAAAGTCGCCAGCCTTATCACACAGCTAAACTTGCACGAGCCAACTTGCGCCAGCCTTATCGCACAGACAAACTTACAAGAGCCAACTTACACGAGCCAACTTGCGCAGCCCGACTTACACGAGCCAACTTGCTCGAGCCAACTTGCGCGAGCCAACTTGCACGAGCCGACTTGCACGAGCCAACTTGCCCGAGCCAACTTGCATGAGTCAACTTGCACGAGCCAACTTACAGGAGCCAACTTGCACGAGAACAACTTGCACGAGATATCACACAGCCAAACTTGCACGAGACATGTGGACACGAAAGTAATTAGTTAGTCTCTTTTGGCGGCGCGGTGGGACCGAACCCACCCTGCGAAAATGACACCCTCTGCGGGGATTGGCGTGGTCGATGTCCAAAAGCTGAGGGCTTTTTACGATTTCTGATCTGCGCTGACCCTCTGCGAGGATTGGCGTGGTCGATGTGCAAAAACTGCGGACTTTTTGCATGTTCTTTAAGGATGAGCCTGCTTATCAGCAAAACACGACTGCTTTTGTAAGATTTCAGGGTGTGTTAGTTGTCTTGGTACCATCAAGCCAGCTTCAACCAACATGAAACAGCGCCAGCTTGTGACTTGCTGCTTGGCATTGCTAAAAGGACACATGCACACAAGAAAACAACTCCTGCGACTGGGGTCAAGGAGCCACGTCTCTATACACAAGTTCACGACTACCTGGGAGAAACAGCATACAACACATGACATTCCGGAACGAATATGCTGCTTGTTTCTTACACAGCATATTGCATGTACTCAAGCATTGCAAGCAAGGCTGTTTGTTTTTGTACACCTGACATTTTTTTACACCAAGTGCTCTTCCGTTTCCTTTTTGAACACAAGGCGCAGCACTCCTCAAACAGTTGAATGTGTTGCTGCATGTGTCTTCTTCCCCAGATGTGACATGGCTTGAACGCAAAAGGTCAACAGATGCAATATTCCTAGCATACTTCTGTCCAGACACAGCTTGCTTGAAAAGAGCATCCTTGCTTTCCCAATAGGACACGCTGCGTTTGGAAGGCTACAGATTGAAAGAAAGGAATCTCTTTTTGAATTTGGTGCCACTCCCTTGCGGCAAGTCAGTTCTACATTTGGACTCCCTAGTTCAACATTTCATCCCACAAAGTGTGGTCTTTTTCCTTTTCCGGACACGCTCACGCACGGTGTGGTTTCTTATTCCTATCAAGACCAAAGTCCAACAAAATGCACAAACGAGTCAAGATACTTAAAGCGAGAGCAGCAGATATAATTTTTGCAAGGCAGTGTCTGCCAACGAAAAGGGCAACCTTTTGAAGCGTTGCCAGCACTGAGGCAGTTCCTTCTTGTTCCCAAAAACAAACAATCAAAACACGAACGAAGGCGCGCAAGTGATCCCAGTCCCGTTTGTTTGTTTGTTTGTTTGTTTGTTTGTTTGTTAAAGGCATTGCGCCGGTGACCCCTTGCGGGCTCAAAGGCATGTTTGAGATCATGGGGGTGGGGGGGGAGGGGGAGGGAGCCCAAATATCAATCTAGGCCGCAGTAAAGTAAAAAAGAGCCACTGATCTCACACAAATCGCACACACACACACACGGACATAGTCCATAACCGCTGCAGGCAGGTACGTCAAGCACAGCTAGTGAACTGCCTTGTGCTGAGGCTTCACAGGAATACTTAGATGGCAGATGCTGGGGCCGACAGCTGGATAGTACACGTAGTCATTCCAAAACACATAGCAGGAGAACCGAACCTGTTACACATGCATAATCTATCCAGCTTATTGGTTTGGTTATATTGAGCATACCACGTGCCGTACCATACGGGGCACTAGAGTTCCACATGAAAATCGAACAAAGTCGGAGCGCCGCCCTTTGTTGTTGTTTGCGTAGCTTTTACACGTCTGTGTAGGTTTAGATGCTTGTGTCTGATGTTTCAAAGATTGGCGCGACGATAGCGCACGAGCTTCTGGAGGTTAAGTCATAATTTGTCGCGGCTGGTACGGCAAGATTGCGCTCCACCGAAGTCGCGTGTCTTTGTTGTGGTCAGTGGTCACATGTACCTTCCAAATCAATTGGGTTCTGTGCCATCTGGTTGTGACCAGCTTGTAAAGTGTTTTGGGCACAGATTTGTCCATGCCAAAACAGTCCTTTACTTCCAACCAGCTCATCTTTCAAGCCCTGCGCGGGCGTTTCCGACATTCCTCGGCTGGACCCAAGAGGTAGAGCCTCGAGGATGTTTCAGGACCGAGTCTCGGAAAACGAGTCGTGGTGAAACATCTTGGCATGATTTCAGAAGAAGGCCCTGCAAGAAGTACGAGTTGTGTAGGAAGACCTGCCGACTTGCAGCTGGTATGAACTACTGGTCTCTGGAACTGTGTTGTGCGATGTGGGCGAAAAAAGTGTCTGCGCCTGTCAACGTGTCGTTTGGTTCGGAGAGGAAGCCATGAACCCCATGGAGCCACTCCAATTCATGTTACGAAGCCACAGTTGCGCTGCGGCTCCTACATGCACGGCCTCAACCAGTGACGCCGTAGAAGTGGGGAACCTGGGGGACATCGTCGCAAAGGTCGGGGATACTGTGTAGAACCTCTGCTTCTCCGGCACGAATCTTTTCTGCGGCGGCGGGGTCAAAAGAGCCGCAACTACGACTGCTTATCATCAGCCTGAAGCTTAGGGCTCTTGTGCGATGTCTGCTGCGTCGAACTTGTTAGTGGAGGTTTGCAGTATCAATTGTTTTTTTCGCCACATTCTTGTGCGTTTTTTTAATGCTGCTCCCGTCTGGCACTTGCCCCACCCTCACTCTCGCTCACACCCACCCACCCACCCGCCCCACCCACCCGCTCGCTCGCTCGCTCGCTCTCTCTCTCTCTCTCTCTCTCTCTCTCTCTCTCTCTCTCTCTCTCTCTCTCTCTTTTTCTCTCTCTCTCTCTCTCTCTCACTCACTCACTCACTCACTCACTCACTCACTGACTCACTCACTGACTCACTCACTCGCTCGCTCGCTCGCTCACTCACTCACTCACTCACTCACTCGCTCGCTCACTCACTCGCTCGCTCTCACTCACTTGCTTGCTCGCTCACTTTTCTTTGCGTGGCACGGGCAGCATTTGGTAGCTGTCTAGAGGACTGGATGTTGTCGAGCGCGCAGCTGCGAGGGATTGGATGTGGCGCGGCTGGGCCCCGTTTTGCGTGGCAGGCGCAGCGCTTTGGAGGTGGCTGCAAATTTCGTGGCAGGCGCGTACATTTGTGTGGCGCGGGCAGCATTTTGGTAGCGGTCTAAAGGGACTGGATGTTGTCGGTGTACGTTTGCGTAGCATGGGCATGTCTAGAGGGGATGTTGTCGAGCGCGCGGCTGAGGGCCCGTTTGCGCGGCAGGCGCAGCGCTTTGGAGATGGCTTGCAAATTTCGTGGCAGGCGCAGCGTTTCCCGCATGTGGGTGTACGTTCGCGCTCTCCACACTCACTCACACTCACTCACAGTCACCCACACTGACTCACTTTCAGAGTGTGCTTGCGTGGCAGCAGCTACAGAGACCCAACACGAATAGCTCGTGAGAAAAGGAGTAGCGCTGCGACTGCCAGACATGCGCAGCAGCGAGAAAAGGTGACGTGGCAACGAGACAAGACGCGCCGCACAGACTCGCCCACACTCACTTCTTCCATTGATTTGCGCTCGCCGCATCTCGCTGGGTACCGTGCATGCTGCCGCTTCACGCGAACCTGTGTTTTCTGATTTTATTGAATTTACGATTTCTTTTGGCGAGCGGACAGCGTAACATTCTTGCCAAGGCGCTGTTCCCACAGCGACCCCTCGAGGCTAGCTCCGGGTTAAGTCCTGCGCGCACGGCTCCGTACAGGCAGCGGTTCTCCCTACAAGCTTCAACGCAATCTGTGTGTCCCTGTGGAGACTCCCCGTCCCCAGGGGCTGGCTCCAAAAATACTCAGCTTCCCGTGCTGGCGCACGTTGCAGATTCGTATTTTAGCATGACTTTCGCAAAATGTACACGGTAGACATGAGGCGCAAACCAGCGGGAGGTACCTGCATATTTTTTGGGAAGCTGGCACCAGACATTCCACAGATCACTGCATATGCAACCATGCGTGCCTAGCCCCAAGTGTCTCAAGTGTTTCAGCTATACGGAGCGCCTCGAGCACCAAGTGCTCTAAATCCCGCCAAGTGCCCAAGTGCTCCAGATGCCCGAAGTTTTCCAAGTGCACCTCCGCAGGACAAGTTTGAGGCGCTGGGGTGCCCCAAGTCGGCAAGTGTTCTAAGTGCTCTAGTTGTCCCGAAATCTCCAAGTGTCCCAAGTTTCCCGAGAGTTGCGCGTACTCCAAGTGTTCCACGTGCTTCACGTATTCGAAAGTGCGCCAGGCCCCAAGTTGTTGAAGTTTTGGTGACTCAAGCGTGCCAAGTGTTGCAAGTGCTTCAAGCGTGCCAAGTGTTCCAAGTGTCCCAGTGTCTCAAATATTCCAAGTGTGAGTCCCGAGCGCCGTACGCGGGTGCTGCGCGCCAAGCGCCCAAAATGCTTTATTTGCGCCAGGCGCGCAAATGTCCCAAGTGCGAAAAGTGCCCCAAGAGCCTGCTTAGTGACTTTGCAAGAGCTGGCCGACAAGGAGTGCGCCTGTCAGTCATTTGTGCGTTTTTCAGGCAATAAATTATGGAACGTTTAGGGTCTTAGAAGCCTCGTGAGCATCTGCATGTACAGAAAGGCACGCAGTCTTTTGCGCGCTTGATTGCCCCGGCGGTAAGGTTCAGGGAGAGGTCACAGCCATGGAGGTGTTCGGTGAGACTAATCAAAGAAGCGTTTGAAGTACGCATCAACATCAGGATGCACACAGACAGCAGCGCAGCAGAATCAATCGCAATGAGAGCAGGACATCAAAGAAAGCAAAGCACATGGAGCTGCGACACCTCTTCATACAACAACTTGTTAAAAGAAAGATCGTCGCAATGCGCAAGGTAAAATCAGAAGACAACCCAGCCGACATTCTCACCAAGTTTGTTGGCTGTGATACACTCACCACACACACACATATGCAGTTGGCCTTTTAGGCCACCACAACCAGTTTCACACAGTGTGCGCAGTATGTTAAACAACAGTTGCGCAGTTCACACAGTGTTCGTTTCACTGCATATCAGCCGGCGCATTTACAGTCTTTTAGGGTAGGTGCACAGCCATGGATCGACCCTCGCTTTCACAACTACATCGACCCTTTTGCATCTTTTGGGAACAACATTTGCATGAAAGTCTGTACAAGTTTCAAACAATGATTTGATACATTTCTGCAGCCATTTCTTGTCTACAGCACTTTGGTCTGGAGGTACATCTGGTTGTACAACTCGCAATGGACATGCAGCCAATTACTCCTTTGCCGATGATCGCACAGGCTCGCAAGCCTGAGAGACACAACGGCCGGATGACCGCATCGGTGGCAGACATCGGCTTTGTTCGGGCGGACAACCTCAAGGACACCGGCCATGGCGTTACAACCAACCCACATGATGCGATCATGGCAACACTGTTCTTGATGAGCTCTGGGAACTTGGCTACAGCCAACACAACAGATCTCTACATCCTCGCCTGGCGCTGTGACCTGACCAAGCTTCTCGACCTTACATCCCGCTCCAGAGCAAACACACTCAACGGAGGCTACATGCTGCAACAGGTGCAGATCTACAACAACAGCGCGTGGCCTTTGAGCGCAACGGAGAAGGGCAGCCTCACGACATGGCGCCTCACACATGGCGCGTGCTTCTTCGACATCAACAACCAGCGCACCTGGGAGGAGTTAGGGTTCCTGCGCTTGCGCAGCGTCGTTCTTCGGGTGGCGCAGCTGACGACCACGATGCAATTTTCGCTGGACTTGCCCAAGCCTTCGGTTACGCAGGACTCGTGGCACTCAGCAGCGTGATCTACCCCGAGTACATTGACAAGATCAATGAGCGCAGGAGGAGCCCCAACAAGTCAGACACACCTGCGCCCGACAATGAGGACAAGAAGTGAAAAAGAGGACGCAGTAGACAATTTGGTCTACATCTGCCCATTTGGCACTCCGGATTTTGTGCAGCCACATCTTTCAGACATCAGGCCACATGAATGCAGTTCGTACAGATGTTCGATCCATTAGAAGCATAGATGCACAAAGTCAACCAGCCAGTAGAGCTGATAACAGACTTTTGCATCACTTGGCCCAGTTAGGACAAAACTGTCTGGCTTGTTGTAGAGCTACATCAATCCAAGGAGGGTGTTAATATACATCCATCTTGTATATTGCGCTGCTCGTTTGTACATCAAGGCCTTGAGCCTAGATAGTAGACCACAGCCCTCGCCAGAGAGTACAACAGGCGCGCTGACACACACAGGTTACACTGTCACTTTCACTTCAACAGTTTCTTAGGTCATGTGTATATATACACCAAGTTACACATTGTGTACTAGTGGCACTACTTGTTGCTGTTTCACAGTTCGATTTCAACATAGCTGGCGACGTGTTTTTTTATACGCATTAATACACACGATTGCCATCTACACATTATTGCCGGTAAAGTCTTGCGAGTAAAGTCCGGCGGAGCCGGTTGGCGGAAGCTTCAACAATATACGACATTGTTTGGGGCGCGCTTTTTTCCCCCTTTGTTTTTCTCGCTGTGTTAGCTTTTCTCTGTCTCCTTCTCTTTCTCTTTCTCTTTCTCTTTTTCTTTCTCTTTCTCTTTCTCTTTCATCTCCTATATCAACCTGGTGTGTTCGAGCCAGACGCAAGCGCCAGCAGCTGGGCCACAGACATTTAAAGCGAGCCAGCATTCGTTGCAGGAAATTCACTGAAGTTGTTTATTCGAATTCTACGCGTGTCTTACACGCATATATCTATACACATATCTATATGTATATATATATATATCTATTCATTTCTTATATTAATGTATATACACACCTAGACACACATGGTGTCATATACTATTGGCACTACTTGTTGCTGTTTCACAGTTCGATTTCAACTTAGCTAGGAGCCGGCGGGCGGAAGCCTTAAACGATCTACAGTTTGGGGCGCGCTTTTTCGCCCTTTCTCTCTCTCTCTCTCTCGCTGTGTTCCCTTTTCTCTTTCTCTTTCTCTTTCTCTTTCTCTTTCTCTTTCTCTTTCTCTTTCTTTTCTCTTTACCTCTACCTTTACCTTTACCTTTACCTTTACCTTTCTCGTTCTCTTGCGCTTGTGCTTGTGCTTGCACCCGCCGAAAGTCCGCAGAGGGTTCACCTTTTGATGGTTGCACAAGCTGAAAACGTAAACAGGCGCGCTTTTTGCGGTCGACCCCTCGACAGTCTGCAAAGGTGCGAGCGAGGTGAAAAGCACAAGAAAGCAAGACGTGAGTTTGCGAGGGTCGACCCAGTGCACAGAGGGTTCACCGATTGGTTGCGAAGCAGGTTGCCAATGGGCCGTGCCAATGGGCCGTGCCTGGGCTGCAATGGGCCGCCAGCGCCGCTCGACGCACTCTGCGCCCGCTCAGAGAGAGAGAGAGAGAGAGAGAGAGAGAGAGAGAGAGAGAGAGAGAGAGAGAGAGAGAGAGAGAGAGAGACAGAGACAGAGGCAGAGATAGAGGCAGAGGTAGAGATATTGAGATATTGACAGAGACAGCGAGAGAGAGAGAGAGAGAGAGAGAGAGAGAGAGAGAGAGCTCGACGAGTCTGCCGACAGTGATGCAGAGACGGAATGTGCCGCTGCTACTAACAATAAAAGGCTATTCCTGTCACCAAGAAAGGGGTGAAGATTAAGGGAGTTTCCTTTCAGGATTGGGCGGGGCATGAATGGTGACACCAGTAGCCAGATTCTGCCCCTCGGGGATAATCCATGGACGTGGAACGGCTTTGAGGGCCTCGAAGCCGTGGAACGGTCTTCAATGAGGCTTTGTTCCTGTGCCCGAGGATGAGGAGGATGTTGAGGGAGACGGGAGTGACAGAAGAAGTAGAGATAGACATGGAAGCTGTCTGAGGTGAAGAAGAAAAAGGGTGTCGCTGGAACACATGGTTACCGACAGGTTCGCAAATCCTTACTGCGACGCATGCGCAAGAGCGAAGATGAGGCATTTCAAGACGAAGACAGGAACCTTCAAACAGAAGCTTAATCGCTGGGGAGATCTTGTGACGTTCGAGTTCCTAACCTTTGAAAGAGTGGGGTAATTGGGCATCGAGACGGACACCAATGTGTTTCTCATGCGAGACGTGCGCGCCGGGATGAGAATGGCATACCCCACGTCGGATGGTTCCGCGGAGGAAGTGGTCAGGTTCATGGGTACGCGCTGCAGGTTGTGAGCGCGTGTCAACAGCTGGGAAGAACCAATTCTTCGGCAGAGAAAAACAATCTCTACTGGTGATCAACCAGGTGAGCGCATGCTTGCTCGCCGCTGCACTACCTCCATGTTACTGGTCGTTCGCTCGCACATGAGCTTGAAAAACCTCACGCAGAGGACAAAGTAGTGATGGTTTCGCCATTGGCATTCCCCACTCGAGAGCACCTATGAAAAGGTGAACGATGGACGCTTCTTGGGAGAAAAAAGCCCGCGAGGTGATACAAGATATTCCGGCGGCGGCGATGATGATGGAGGCGGAGGTGATGACGACCCCAGGGGGGGGAAGGATGGAAAGACGAAAAAGGTAAAGGCGCGAGAAGTTTGGGAGTGATGATATGGTCGGAGGCATCGATGACATTACGTCGGCTGGACCAAAGGACCCAGTACCTCCTTCCAGTTATAAGAAGAAATTTCAGAGAGCAGAACAACGGGGAATTCCCATGCCTGCTGGGCTGGAGCCCGGATATCACCGATGATAAAATCGGAGAGATGAAAAGGCAACAGCCTTTCAGGCAACAAATGCTAACGGGGGCGGGGGGGGGCCGAATGGAAAGATGTGGTCGGCGCGCTACAATCAAGACTGAAATTGCTGAAGCGCTCGAATGTATCCTCATTGATCTAATCAAAGGGGAGAACTTGTACAGAACTGTCATCAAGGATGGCGAAGAAATTCCGATTGATGCCTTCATCTGGTACAGTTTCGGAAGATGGGCCATTCAGTCAGAAGAATGTGAGGACGTCAGTGCCAGTGCAGGTAAGCCTGGAGGCGGAGTCATAAAGGTGAACGATGAGTGAAGCTAGACGCACAAGGGAAACCATGTGAAGTAGGGATTGACGGCAGGAATATTTCAGTATCCTTTGAGCCCTATTTGCGCTACTGGGGGTGCCCGAAGTCGACAAGTGTTCCAAGTGCCCCGGATGTCCTGAACTTGCCAAGCGCCCCAAGTGTCTCAAGTCGCCCCAAGCTTTCTGCTCCAAGTGTTCCACGTGCTTCAACTGTTCCAAACCGCGTGTTCCATGCCCCAAGTGGTCGAAATTTTGCGAAATTGTTCAAGGGATTCGAGTGTGCCAATGTTGCATGTTTCACGTGCCAATTTGCCGAGTGTCCGAACAAGTGTTTCAAATATTCCGAGTGTCCGAGCACGGAGCGCCCTAAATGTCTCAAGCGGTTCCGGTGTCCCAAGGGTCTACGCACAAGTGCTGCGAGGTGCGAAAAGTGCCCCAAGAGCTTGCCCGAACGCACGCCCCAGTTGTCTGAACTTCGCTAACCACCTTCACTGAGAAGTCACCTTCGCAAGTGGCTAAGGAGTGCGCCTGTCCGTCATTTGTACGTTTCTCATGCGAACCCATCGCGCTGTACCGGTTATGTGCTTGTATGGCTTGGAGGCGGGGTTACCGGGCAGGGCGATTTACTCTACAAAACTTGTGCATGCCGCGCACACATCTATCAGGTTTTGCATGCGCCAGAGTTTTGGCTCACAAGCAGTTAGGGGCACCATCCAGAGTCGCAGGAGCATCCGCTTCGCCTGACAGACGGCGCCCGGCGCCCGTGCAAACAATTGCCTGCAAGCCTCCGGTATGGCGGCCCCAAGATCCAGAAGCACATGTGTGTAACGCTGAGCAATGTTGCAGCACAGATTGTGTCTGTCCGCCTATCGATCAGCGTCACATTTACAGAGCAAGTTGTTGCGCAGGACATGGAGCGGCAGGCTGAAGAGGTCGCGCGCAGCCGAGAACTTGACGAACTATTCCGTTGAATCACTCCGCAGTGAACGATTGGGTTGACACACGTCACTCATTCAAGGCTGCACATTGTGCCAGATTTGACAAAGCGCAGACATATCCTCCATGGGCTGCCTTGCAAGGAGCCTGCGGCGTGCTCAACAGATGCCAACCAGATGACCAACCATCGCATCTCGAAACCTTCGCTGCAGGCAGTGGCCAACATTGAAGCTTGCTATCTGCGCACGCCGCAGTTTCGCGTGGGCAAGTCGCTCCTCAATCCTGCGCGGAGTGGCCTGGAAGTACCTCAAGCCAATGGTCTTGAAGAGGCACCCCGGGCATCTGGGTTCCTGTTGCGACATGCCCGCCACACACACACGCTGCTTAAATACGCAGTATTTTGCGGGCTGAAGACCCCTCCCCATCCATGATATCGTCTCCGTGAAGCCGAGTTTTGGTGGAAAGCGAGCTGCTGCATGCGTGTCGCATCACCGACAATTTGACTTTGGAGGGTCGGAAATTTAAGGAGTTGCCGCCTGGAACCCTTTTTGATGGGGATTCACGAAGCATTGCTTGAGGCAGTGGCCCAGTCATCAACATTACGGCTTGTATTTTTTTGCCGGAGGCAGCGACGCTTGACTTGGGCTTGCGCGAAGCGCCGCTGGCTGCCATGCAAGGTGCCGATGTTGCTCTCAAGAGATACCAACCAGAAGGCCAACCGTCGCGTCTCGAAACCTGGTACCAACCAGATGACCAAACATCACGTCTGAGGCAGTGGCCCAGTCATCAACATTGCGGCTTGCAAACCTTCGCTGGCGACAGTGGTCCAGCCGCCCGAATTGGGCTTGCGCGACTCGCCATTGGCTGCCGTGCAAGGCGCGTGCTCAACAGACACCAACCAGAGGACCAACCATCACCTCTCGAAACATTGCTACATTGCTTGAGGCATTGCCACCAACATTACGGCTTGCAAGCCGTTGCTCCTTTGCTGGAGGTAGCCCAGCCACCATTGGCTCACACTCGAGCCGTCGCTGCAGGCAGTGGCCCAGCCACTAACATTGAAGCTTGCAATTGCCATGCAAGGCGCCTGCGATGCTCTCAACAGACACCAACCAGCTACTGCTACACCAGCAAGCGCCGCCCAGAATCCGCGTATTCAGTCATTGTCGCCCCATCCCACTGCCCCAACTTGAAGTGATAAGACAGAATGAGGCTTCGAGCCCAAGAGCAAACCCACAGCATGCAGGTGTGAGCCAGACACTTTTTGTCGACGCGGAGCTGTGCATTCAGCTCTGAAGGCTGACCTTGGTTGCGATCAGTTTGCGTAGTGGCGCTGAACATTGTTGGCGATCCGCCTGGCAAGTCTTTCTCCTGGGGGGCTCTTGGCTGCCATGAAACTTGGCTGGAGCTTGCGCACAAAGAAGCAAGAGCTCGTCTGGCTGCACCAGCCAGTTCGCCAGAAGGCCACAGGGCTTCAGCCTTGAACCGTGTCGGAGACGCCAGTCTAAGATTTCAACACCGAACTCAGCCCGGCTCGCTGGATGCTGCCTGACTTTCGGTCACTTCCAAGTCGCGAATATTGTGCACTGTTCATTGCGGGCGGTCCAGGTCCTGCCCAGGGTTTGGGTTTCCACAATCCAGAAGAAACAATGGCAATCTAGTCGTTGCTTGGGTGTGGAGGCTCCTGTGCCCATGCACATGCTGGCCAGGGTTTGTTTCTTCCATTTTGGCCCCGAAGTTAGCGCAGGTAGGTCTGGCAAGTCTGATGAGTTGAGTGCTTCTGGAGACATAGACTTTAGCATCCTGGCAGGCAGTTTTCCTCGGACAGGTCAGTGGGACATTGCGCTGTTTTGAGAAGAACGCTGCGGCGCAAGTGCCGTCGGCGAAGGGTGCGCAAACTTTGCGCCTCATGCTTTGGCGCGAGCGCCGTTGGGATATGCTTTGGAATGCTCGCAGAGGCATTGCCAAGGTGCCTCGCAAGTCTTGCGCGAGTGCGCTCCACCCATAGCATGATAACGCCTCTTCACACAATTTGGCCCTGGCCGAAGTGAAGACGTACAGAGCACCCAGGAAGGCCGCAAGGCGATCGCCAGAACGGAGGCCCTGCGAAGCAGCAGGCCGTCGTGTTGCGCCAAGGCGAAGACCTCTTAAAACCCTTGCTGGAGGCAGTGGCCCAGCCACTGATGGCTAAGCTTGCCAGTGCCACGCAAGGCGCATGCGGTGCTCTCCCTCTTGCAGTGGAAGCACCATTGGCTGCCACGCAAGGCGCGTGCTCAACAGATGCCAACCAGAAGAAACACCATCGCGTCTCGAAGCCTTTGCTGGAGGCCCAGCCAGCATTGGATGATACCAACCAGATGACCAACCCTAGACGCCTAGACCTTCCTTTTTCTGCCTTATTCACGAAAACCGCCAGCCTGTTTTGCCGCAACACAATGAACGTGCACTTTTGGCGCCAGGCGGCGCTTTTGCAAAAGAGCAGCAAAACCGTGCAGCTGGAAGGTCTAGGTGCCAACCAGATGGCCCACTATCGCGTCTGGAAACATTGCTTCACGGCTTGCAAACTTTCGCTGGAGGCAGAACGCCAAAATTCGGCTTGTGCGCAGCGCCATTGGCTCCCTTGCAAGGTGCCGATGTTGCTCTTGAGAGACACCAAGCAGAAGGCCAACCATCGCGTCTCAAAACCTGATACCAGCCAGATGACCGCGCGACGTGCCTTCAAAGTGATGGTCCGCGCTCTGTTTCGCGATTCGATCATGCCGATGTTTCTCACAATGTGACTGGTGAACTGTAAATGATATCGACCTGCGCTGTTTCTGGCGGGCGCCGACCGTAGCACGCAGTTGCTAGCTCCTGCCACGCAAGGCATGGCTGCGGCGCTCTCAACACAGCTGCGACCTCACGGGCCGATGTCACAAACGAACAACGAGGTGAGGCAGAGGCTGACAGGGACTTGTCAGCTTTCGTGCAATTGAAGCATTAGGCACAAAATCTGCGCATGCACATTTTCGTCTTTTCAGCGGCCGCATTCCTTGCACACCCGGCGCCCTTCTGTGTGGTTTGCGTGATTGCATGCCCTTTCAACATGTGGAGGGTGCAATTCCTGCGAGTGTTGGGGACGTCCTCGCGGTTTTCTACGGGCCACAGGTGTGGAGGTGTGGACATTCCATGCGCCGGGCAGCGTGTCAGCTATTGCTGGAAGCCGCCCAGAATCCGCCTATTCAGTCAATGTCGGCCCATCCCACTGCCCCAACTTGAAGTGATGCATTTGAGAGAGAGAATGAGGCCCTGAGCCCAGGAGCAAACCCACAGACACTTTTTGTTGACGCGGAGCCGTGCATTCAGCTCCGAAGGCTGACCTTGGTTGCAATCAGTTGGCGTTGTGGCGGTGAACATTTCCGCCCGGCAATCCTTTCTCCTGTAAGCTCTGGGCTGCTATGAATCTTGGCTGGAGCTTGCTCACAAAGCAGCAAAACAAAAACCGGCGATTGGCTTGGCTGACAGAACTTGTCTGGCTGTACCAGCCAGTTCACCAATAGGCCACACGGATTCAGCCTTGAACCATGTCGCGAACGCCAGTCTAAGATTTCAAAACCGAACTCAGCCCTGCTCACTACATCCTGCCTGACTCTCGGTCGCTTCTGAGTCACGAATATGTGTGCGCTGTTCATGGTGGGCGGTCCAGACCCTGCCCAGGCCTTGCATTCCCAAAATCCAGAAGAAGCAAAAGCAATCTAGTATTTGCTTGAGTGTGGAGGCTCCTGCGCCCATGCACATGCTGGCCAGGGTTTGTTTCTTCGATATTGGCCCCGAAGTTTGCACGGGTAGGTCTGGTAAGTCGAATGAGTTGAGTGCTTCTGGAGACAAAGACTTTAGCATCCTGGCAGGCAGTTTTCCTCGGACCGGTCACTGGGACATTGTGCCGTTTTGAGAACAGTGCTGTGGCAGTTGCCGTCGCAAATGCGCGCGCGCAAATGTTGCACCTCATGCTTCGGCGCGAGCGCTGGTGGGATGTGTTTTGGAATGCTGGCAGAGGCATTGCCAAGGTGCCTCGCAAGTCTTGCGCGAGTGCGCTGCGCCCATAGCATATTGGAGACACGGCAGAGCACTTTCCGAGACTTTGGCTGAGCTTGAAAGCGCAGGCCAGACGCTGGTAGAGCTCCGAGCAGCCCAGACGCTGGTAAAGCTTGCTGGATGCGTTGCCAGGTAGCGCCGTCCAGAGCTGCATAACCTACTGAACTTCCCCGTAGCTTCTTGAAAGCATTATTTCCTTGACTCTTGGGCATGATGTTGAGGGAAAGCACGATGCTGGCAAAGTATTCAGAACCCAGATATGTTGCCTTGCATTTGCCTGTGGCATGGGCCTTTGTTCTGCCGTGCCACATGTCCTTCCCAAAGGGAATGCGTTTCCTTGAGCGCTTTCCAAGGCGAATCGGCCTTTGTCTAACATGTACATGGTTTGAACCTACCCTGAGGTTCCCGAATTGAAATGCGGGCTGCCTGTCCCATTTGTTCTTGGCTCCGTGTTCATCGTGCTTGTGTTTGGGCTATGCTCTGACTGTGAAGTCCTTTACTTTGTGCGGGCCGTAGGTCAAAGATGATTTACGCCTTAGAGGCATGCTGGGCATGCTGCAATCGCGCCGGACAAGGAGGCTGGCAAGGGACATGTCAACGGCCGCATTGGGCTCCTGACATGCCCGGCATTTTCGGTGTAGTTTTGAATCGCAAGCCGCTGATGTTGGTGTGTCGGGGACATCAATTCACGGGCCCGGCAGCGTGTGTTCAGCCAATATCACCTCATCCCACTGCCCCAACCTCAAGTGATGCAGGGGTTTGAAAGACAGAATGAGGCCCCAAGCCCAGGAGCAAACCAGACCCTTGCGCGCCACGCAGAGCTACTGAAGGATAGCCTCGTTTACGATCAGTGTAGTGGCGCTGAACATCGGAGCAGCTCGTATGTCAACCTGGTGTGTTCGGAGCCAGACGTAAGCTCTGGCATCTGGGCCACACAGACATTTGAGAGCGAGCCAGCAGAATTTGTTGCAGGAAATTTACCGAAGTGGTTCATTCGAGTTCTCATTTATTGTATGTATATATATATATATTATTTGTATATTCATTTCTTATATTAATTGCATATATACACCTAGATATACATGGTATCAGATACTATTTGCACGACTTGTTAGATTTCAATATAGCTATTGATATGTATATATGTATATACACACCAATGCACATGATTGCCATCCAAACATTATTGCCAGAAAAGTGCGGCAGAGCCGGCGGGCGGACATTTCAACCATGTACAACCTATAGTTTGGAGCGCGCTTCTTTCCTCTTTTTTTCTTTTCTCTCTCTCTCTCTCTCTCTCTTTCGCTGTGTTCCCTTTTCTCTTTCTCTCTCTCTTGAGCTTGTGCTTGCTCTTGCTCTTGCTCTTCTCCTTCCCCGGTTCTTTCTCTTTCTCTTTCTCCTTTTCTCGCTCTTTATCTTTCTCTTTCTCTTACGTATTCTCTTTCTCTTTCTCTTTCTCTTTCTTTTTATCGTTCTTTCTGTCTCTGCTTCGTCTCGTTCTCGTCCTTATTCGTCCTTTCTTTTTATTTCTCTCCCTCCACAGCCCACGAAGTGACACATCGCAGAAGACCACGAGTTTGTTTTGGGTCGACCCGCCGAAAGTCCGCAGAGGGTTCACCTTTTGATGGTTGCACAAGCTGAACACGTAAACAACAGGAACTTTCGCGAAACTTGGTTGTTTCACGAAGGGTGGTTGCTCAAGACGGGCTTCGCGCTTCAAAGCCTGGAAGGCCGATGAATTCAGTTGCTTCTCAAGTTGGGGCTGGAAACGCAGCATGCCGTACCCGTGGGACCATACGCATCAAATTTTACACTGTGGTAAGCAACAGAACAGAACAAAAACCGCATCGCGCGTTAGTTTCATTATCCTTCCTGCGTCTCTTCCCCTCCCGCCCGCCGTTGTGGCGGAACCGGCCCCTGCTGCGGCCGTCGTGGCCGCAGGCCTAGATCATTCACAGCCTTTGCTGCCAGGGTTTGTGAAGAGTACCTCTGGGTTACCTACAAAGCCGGCGCTCGCATGTGCGCAAAGAAGGAGCCCCAGACTCAGAGCTTCTTCTCGATTGCGTGGAAAAGGGCACTCGAGGGGCTGGCTATGGTAACAGGAAGCTTGGCCCTCATCTTGGCAACCTTCTGAAGGGAAAGCGGCCCATAGACTGGACCACCCTTATCCGTCTTCACCTTGACTTTGCTGACCTTTGCCCCAAGTTCTGAGGCAGGCTGTTTTGGCAACTGTGCTCAGTTGCTTCGCTTCATGTTCCCAGGTTGTTTCACGGAAAGCCTCCTCCTCTTGGGCTCTTTCTGGTACTTTCCTGCTCCTGTTCCCTCTCTTTTGTTCCTCTTTGTTGAGTGCTTTCGCGGGGCAGCCCTCCGATTCTTCCAAGGCCTCATTGCTCCTGGCCTACACGGGCACTTGGCAAGAAGCAGCAGGGCTGTGGAACGGCTTTTCGTGAGGGGCTGAGGCAGCCGGCGCTCCCTGCCGTGGGGGCGAACCCTTTCAGCAACACCCATCGCAGTATTTACAATCTAGGCTTCAAGGGTGCAAGGCAGTGCGGCAATGTCCAGCGAGTGCTGGTCCACCGCCGTCTTCAGCCCGTAGTTGGCGGCCACGGTCGACAGCGCGGCGTTGTTGGCCGCGGCGATGGAGCCGTTCGTGGTGCTGTCGTTGGCCAGCTTCAGGCCCACGCTGTCGGGCCACCACGCTCTCCAGCACGTCGAAGGCCGACTGGTCCTCCTTGTTCGCGAGCCCTGTCAGCGAGCTCTGAGCTCTGCAGCACCGCGATCCCGCAAGCCGCCACCTGTCCGTCAGTCAACGCCGGGCGCTGCTGTCCAGCTTCAGCCCCAGCTCCGCGGCCCAAAGACTGGATCACCGTGGTGTTGCTGCTCACAGTGACGTCCGCTACCTGTGCGTAGGGCGTCAGCGCCAGCTGCCCAGCAGTGACGCGCTGCCGTCCCTCTCCGTTGTCCAGGATCTCTGGAATGTTGACTGGTCCTTCGAAGGTAAATGAACAGGTCCGTCATGTTGCCGTCCAGTCCCTTGAGTGCTCACGCCGCCCCGCGATTCTCGTCGTACGTCCCCGCAAGCACGCTCAGGTTGCGCCAGTCGGGGCCACGTCTATGTGTGGGTTTGCCGAGGTGGATCCTGGACCCGGCGTCGTTGTCCCAAGGTCACAAACGCGCATGACCTTCGTGAACGCCCGCGCGACGGTGACGTTGTGCTCTGCGACTCCGTTCGGGACGCTGATTGCATGGCCAGCGGAGCGATGAGGCCTTGGAAGAATGGGAGACTGAAGAACAGCCTGCCCCGAAAAGTCAAGGAAATCGCAGAGGCAGCCCCGGGGGCAAAGCCAGCCCAAGAAGAAGCGCAAGCCAAGCGCAGGCGCGAAAGAGGGCAACACTGAGGAAGAGGAGCGAAAGCACGGAAGAGGAACAAAAGCCAAGTGCGGGCGCGAAAGAAGGGAAGAGGAACGAAAGCCGAGCGCGGGCATGAACGAAAGAGAGGGGACCAGGAGCAGGAAAGTCAGAAGAATGAGTTTAAGAGGAGGAGGCTTTCCGTGAAACAACCTGATCCTCCCAAACTTAAGATCTGCCCCCAAGGTACGGCGTTCCAAAGAATGAAGGTTGGCTCAAATGCGCTTCCAGCCTGACTGAGTTCATGGGCCCTCCAGGCTTTGACGAGTGAAGCCCTTCTTGAGCAACCACCCTTCCT